ATCGAATGTGAAAATGTTGTGTTCATGATTTTGGCACGAGGAGAGCCAGAGGAACCACACGGCGATTTCGATGCCTAATATGACTACCAACGGGCACGTCAAGAACTATCACAAGTACAGGACGGAGCCTTTCAATCATGGAAGGTGTGCGAACTGCTGGCAGATATGTTGTCAACCGGAACGCGTGCGTGCAGAAAGGTGACGACAAATTCCTTGACAGTTTGCAGGCTTTCGACGACTGGGTCGTCGGGGCCTCGCGGGCCGCCTTGGACGCTCTCCGACGAGAACGGGAGCGATGGCGGGTCCTACAAGGAGTAGCCGCAGCGCCGGCGTTTGGGCGAGTCCATCGGCCTCTGGTCCCCGCCTCCTTTTCTCCTGCCCGCTCTCCTCCAAAGGACGGAGTGGCGGACGAGACGACGCATGCAGAGTGGCAGGGTGCGGACTGGGTGGGAGAGCGAAAGGGAGCTCCTCTGTCGAACCTCCAGGTACATCTCGCCCGGCACGCCCTGCGTGCTACACCTCGCGAGTCACGCAGGGCTGCCAGGACAGCAGCCAGTGCAGCGACCTTTTTGCAGAGTTGTATTATGTGTGCATCGCGGGGAAATCATCGCATCGCCATCGCTGGCCCCATCACCATCATAGCAGAAGTCGTCACCGTCGGGCATCTGCCTTCTGACTCTCCTCCTCCTGCTCGAGCGAGTATCGGCACAGACCTCGGCGCAGGACGGGAAGCCAACCTGGGTGAACGTCCACGGTCACGACGAGGCGGCATCCGCGGACCGTCGCCCCCCCCCCCCCCCCCGCCCATCGAGGCGGCAGCAGAGGTCGGGTGAGCGGGAGAGGCATGCATGGAGGAAGTCAGACGGGGAAGAACATGCCGATGCCGTTCCTGGGCCTTGGCGGCCACGGCTGACTTCGCCTCGAGAAATCTCAGAGGGAGCGCTTCCCTTTGGGAGCAGCTGTGTCGGTGGCTCCTCGAACCGCTAAAGAAGGGGATTCAGCGAATCGGAGGTGAGACAGAGCGATACCGAACATACGCACGCACATTGACTCCTTTCCTAATGAAAAAGCGCGTCACGAGGGAGAGCGCGTCACACGCGTGCGTGTCCTCTCGAAGAAGAGCAAGGAGATAAATTATACGAGTAACAATACTACGAACAATAGCAATTATAATGATGAAAATAAGACTAAAGATGATAATGATGCTACGACGAGTATGTTCAGTCTTGATATTATGTTAAGATGAAGAAGAAGACAAACACGAAGAAAGAAGCCATTGCCGAGCGCGATGCGGAGGTGCGCGGAGGCGATGCTCGCCAGTGCAGGGTCGAAGTTGTTGGTGGCGAGGAGGGGACGAGCGATGAGGGAGGGTGAGGGAAGCCGGCGAGCGAAAGGAGGAGGAGGAACGGGACGGCCTGGCGGCAGAACATCCAGTTTCATCATCGGCTAGCCTGGATGCCTCCTCCTTGGCCCGTATGCGGGCTGCCAACTCTCGCAGACGATCCGAATCGACCAAGCGCGAGGAGCCTGCAGCAGGTGGGCCTGGAGGGGCAAGGAGCACCGTCTTGGGCGGTACCCGCGCAGGTGCCACCACATCGTCACACTCAGGATTCTTTCTGTAATGAGGGTGTAGGCCAGCACGGAGGCGAGCAAGGGCACCTGCTCCTGAGGTGCCCAGCTTCCTTTCACACTCCTGGCCCAGCAAGTGACAACACCTGCTGGTGTAGGCACTTCAGGCGTAACAAACAGTCAGCGATCTTTGAGAGTTGTTCAACGCAGCAAATCCCAACCTATGGTGCCTCTCAGTCTCCGCGCCACGGAGGCGTCGGAGAGCAGTGGAAACGCCAGCGCAACCATTCATAGGTCGGGACTCGCCGTCGCACGAAATCATGAAACATCGCACACATCGAAGGGTGCTCTGCTCGTTGTCCAGATCTTCCCAAACATGCCAGTCGGGAGGGAGCGGCACGCGAGACAGTCGTCGACCCTTCGGGGCTCTCTCGTAGTCCAGTTTAGGGAACAACGGGAGGACACGGCCAAACATCTTAGCACAGGAGCGAAGGACCTGCACCCGCTTATCCAGCTCAGCCAGATCAGCAGGTGCAGGCTGAGGGTGGAGCGAGAGGGCGAACTTAGCCAGGCGATCCGCGTCCTGGTTCGCCAGAGCGATTCGCTTCTGAGCAGGTAGCAGCTCCGTGAGCTGTGGTGTGGTAGGCCGGCCTCTCCAAGGGCCTCGTATCCAGCCGACTGTTGGGCCGCTCGACGAAATCCCGCTAACATCTCCTTGGGATTAAGCTGGGCCGCATCCGACAGGTTGTGCAACCGCACCGCGCCTTTACAGTCACAGTAAGGCGTTGACTAGAGGAGGATGCGGAGGAGGAGGAGGGGAAGGAGGAGGAGGAGGAGGAGGAGGAGGAGGAGGAGGAGGAGGAGGAGGAGGAGGAGGAGGAGGAGGAGGAGGAGGAGGAGGAGGAGGAGGAGGAGGAGGAGGAGGAGGAGGAGGAGGAGGAGGAGGAGGAGGAGGAGGAGGAGGAGGAGGAGGGAGGAGGAGGAGAGGAGGAGGAGGAGGAGGAGGGAGAGAAAGAGGAGGTGGAGAAGAGCAAGAAAAAGAAGGAGGAGGAGGACGAGGACGGGGACGAGGACGCACGCCGGGAGGCGGCGCCATTTGGGCGTGCACACCCAGGCCGTCGGCAATGCCGGCTGGCCTCGTGTCCTGCGCGAGGAGACGCGCGGCGCTGCGGAGAGGAGTCGAGAACCCAGCAGCACGCGAGGGCCGCGCAGCGAGAGATCGAGCGCCGGACCTCGCACCCGCGGCCCTCCCCGAGGATCGATGGGGGGGCTTCGAAGGTTTGCGTACGTGTTCGACCCTTGTCGGGCCTCCGGGGACCTCCGGGGAGCTCCGCGAGGACCTGCGCGGGCACCTCCGGGGGTCAGGCTCTGGGGCGGGAGCGGACATCTCGACTGCAGCAGGGCCCCTTGGGATCTTTTGGCGTGCGCGAGGGTGCATGAGCCACGCGCAGGGTGGGGTGGGGGGAGGGGGGAGGGCTTCTTGGAGGCACCTTGCTTCTTAGAGGGCGCGGGCCTCATCTACGGACGTAAGGCCGGCGCCTTCCAATGAGCAGCCTCCTTCTGAGAAGCCTTCCCCCCCACCCCTCCCCTCTGTGCGCGCCTCCAGGTGCAGGATCTTGCGGAGCAGAGGTCGGCACTCCGAGGGGCGGGCCCTGAAAAAAGGGTGCGGGGCGGCGGGGGGCGCGTGGGGTCCGGAGGCCGGAGCTGCCACGTCGGCGGCGCGCCCCCCTCGGCGCCGCGAGAGGGGGGGGCGGGGGCAGCAGGGCGAGGTGCAGTGGAGGCCCATGCCAAGAAGCACCCTGCTCGCCTTCGGGGTGCCCTGGGTGCACTGGGTTTCCATGGTTTTGCGACGGAAGGCGTGGCGTTCCCACACCAACAGAAAGCAATGGACGTGCCGGGATCTCAGGGTGGGGTGCCTTGTGGAAGGTTTCTCGTGGACGGGTCTCCACTGTAGGCGGCACATGGCGGAGAGCACAGAGGGCTTCCGCCGAGGGACGGGCCCTTTTCAGTCAGATGCATCGCGCGCCTGCACAGTCGAGCTTGACTAGTAGCACTCCCGCAGCCCCGCGCTCGTTTCGGCGCACACCTCACTCGCGTCGTGCTTCCGTCGGGAGCTCCATCTGCGGCTGCACTGGGCGCGCCCGCATGCCACACCCGGCCCATGCCTGCACACGCATCACGCGCGCCGTGCCCGGGGGCTCCTCCCACTGCCCCAGCGGAGGGCCCGCATGCCGTACCACCTTCACACGCGTTGTCCCTCCCCACGGGGGCCAGTCAGCGCGCGCGTGCCGCACGCGCTTCGTTCCCTCATGTGGAGCTGCACCTTACGGCCCCAGCTGACTCGCGCGCATGCTGTCCCAGCTGACGACTTTGGCACACCTCTTTCAGGGCTCGCGCCCCCATGCGTCGCTCAACCCACGGCCCCGCCGCCCCCCGCCCATTTCCGCACATCATTCACCCCGGTCGTGGTCCACGGGGATGTTGACTCCTGGTTTGCCTAATGGTTTCTTTTGTCAATGTGTCTCAGGTGTTCACGGTTGATGCGTCTGGGGGAAAGTGGCCCCACAAGGATGTGATTTCGATGCGTCCCGTGGTGCGTAGTAGTTGAGGAGAGGGCCACACTCCGAGCCACAAGTAGCTGCATAGGTCTGTGCCGACTGCCAGGCCAATCGGAATCTTCTAGACCTCACCAACATCATGTGAAGACCCCCTTTCAATTTTCCTTCCCCTACCCCATCTCCTCCTCTCCACCCCGCACCCACCCCTCCTCGATCCCCACTTGACCCCTCTCCTCCTTGTCCCTGCCTCTCAGACGACCTTCTCTGCCCGCACCTCCCCCGAGAGGCCCCCCCTTCCGCCCCCCCTACCCCTGCCCACCCCTTCGGCCGCCCTATCCCGCCCACGCCTCCTTCGAATGTCCCCCCGTCCCATCAGAGCCCCTTCGTCCCCGCCCCGTCTCCCCCCGCCAGCCCCCAGCACGGATGCGGGATGGCAAACAGCCAAGGAGGAGGAGGAGGACGAGGAGGAGGAGGAGGAGGAGGAGGAGGAGGAGGAGGGCCCCAATGCCCAGACGCCGAAGCAAGGGCCACTGGGCATGACTGGTCTGGTGGCGGGGGGGGGGGGGGCCCGCTCCTCGGAGCCGAGCACGACGAGCCCGCTCGTGGCCGAGCCTCGCCGTGCCCAGCGAGGCCCGCCCCCTCCTCCGCGGCGCTCCTCGGGCCTCCATGGGCCCGCCCCGCCCGCCCCTCCTCGCCCGTCCCCCCTCGCCCCCTTCGCCCCCCCCCCCCCCCCCCCCTCGCCCTCTCGCCCCCTCCCCCTCGCCCCCCCCCTCCCCTCCCAGTGGCCCTCTCCGCCTCCGCCGGCGCCCCTGGGGCCTCCAGGGCCCGCCCTGCCCTCTCCCGCAGCAGGCGCTCCGCCCCCCCCCCTGCCAGGGCCCTCGGACGCACCCCCCTAGGCGCCGCGCGGCGCACTCCGCCGTCCCCCCCCCGTCGCCCCGGGGGCTGCCAGACGTGCCACGTCTGGCCCAAGGCCGAGTGCACTTCCGCAGAGGGCGGGCGCTCCGAAAGTATCGGAGCGGCCGGTCGCTGGCCCCGTTCGGCCTCTGGGGGCCCTCGCCGGGGCCTCGAGAGACCGTCAAGGAACAGCTGAGGACGAACAAGCGGTCCTCGGGAAGTGGTCCAGACCTCAGGGGCCCACGCATCGAACACATTTGAGCGGCGGGCGTCCGGGGAGGTGTGCATGTTTCCTCGGCGAGGACCAGCGAGGAGCCTCTTAGGTCATCCTGCGAAGCAAGAAATGCAGGAAATCGAACAGTGCACGGGGAATGGGCGTCCGAGCGATGGCAAAGGTGCCCCCAGGATTTCCAGGGAGGCCCCCACGGCCTCCAGAGCACCCCTCACGAGGCCTGGAGGGCCCCCAGCGGCTCCAGACTGGAGCGCACCCCGACACCTGGCCGCTCAAGTGTTGCCGATACGTGGGCCCTGGAGGTGTGGGCCGCTTCCCCGGGAGGCGGGCCTTCGTCCTGGGCACTTTTCGGGCGGTCCCGAGACGCGGCGAGGGCCCCCAGGTGTCGAGCAGGGCCCGAAAATCCGGCCGCTCAATTTTTGTTTCGGAGCGTCCGCTCTCTGGCGAGGGCACCTTGGGCTAGGGGCACCTCTGGCCCTCCCCCGACCCTGGCTCCGAGGCGGGGATGTCTACACAACCACAGCCTGGAGAATGGATGTTCGGGGACAGCGGCGGGTGGTGGATGTGGACATATTTCGCCCCCCCCCGTGGGCCTAGATATGTCCACATCCACAGCCCGCTGGGTCCCATGGCGTCGGTTCGCAGGCGGTGGGTATGATGAAATCTTTAGGCCTCCCAGGTGGGGTCCGAGTAGATGGTGTCGGAGGATCGCGCCGCATCGCCGACGCATCGCCGACGCATCGCCGATGCGGCTCGATGCGGCTCCCGATTTTCTCCACGCCAACGTCGCCGATGCGTCGCCGACGTCGGCGACGCATCGCCGATGCATCGCCGGCGCATCGCCGATGCGTCGGCGATGCGTCGCCGACGTCGGCGCGACCCTCCGACCCCACCTGCTCCGACCCCCCCTGGGAGGCCTAAAGATTTCATCATACCCACCGCCTGCGAACCGACGCCATGGGACCCAGCGGGCTGTGGATGTGGACATATCTAGGCCCACGGGGGGGGGCGAAATATGTCCACATCCACCACCCGCCGCTGTCCCCGAACATCCATTCTCCAGGCTGTGGTTGTGTAGGCATCCCCGCCTCGCACCTGCGCAGTCCCAGCGAGGGGCAGGCCGCCATGGCCGCGCAGGGCCCGGCGTACGCCCCGCAGCCCGCGCACGTGCGGGCCTCGGCCGCCCGAGGAGAGTTCTGCCCGGCGGGCGCCCGCCGTCCGCGAGCCGCCGCGAGGGGAGGGGGTGCCCGCCGCGGGGGGGGCTCGGCGACGCGAAGGCCCAGAGGTCTCAACGGCACCGTAACGGGTACTTACTAACGGGTACTTTGAATTTTTGCCGAAAGTTGCCACTTTAGGGCCTTTTTCTTGCATTGCAGTTTTGCCCACATCGGGAAGGGTTGGGTTCGCTGGGTCACTGGCCAAAGTACCCGTTAGTGGAGTCCCCGTTTGAGGGGTGCTGAAGGTCCGACGCCCCGACAAAAATTGGAGCGGCGGGTCGGGGGCTAGTTTCGGCCCTTCGGGGGCCCTCTCCGGGCCTCGAGACTTTCGAAACATCGGGGGTTGAGAAACCTCCTATACCCTGACACGTCGATGAGCGAATTGGCCGTTTTCGGTTCGCGAGAGGGCGTCGCGGCCGTTGTTTTGGCGGGTCCAGGTCCGTCGGTTTCGGTCCCAGGCCGTTTTCACTGAAGGGTGGTTTACTAAAGGGAGGTTTGTCCACCGCCGAAAAAAACGATTCGGGACGAAAAACCGGTCTCAGGGAAGTGGTCCAGACTTCTAGTGCCGCGCATCGAACAAAAATTGGAGCGGCCGGATGTCTGGGGAGGGGGGTATAGGGGGATAGGGGGGGAAGGCTTTTTAGATGGGAAGCTGGCGCATATGCATTACCAGTGGCGGGCTGTGCTTCCATCCCAGGACTTCTAAAGGGTCGGGGACGGCGTCGGGGTGGTGTGGTGTATACGTTCTTTACCGCTTTCCCAGGGAGGCAGCGAGAAATCAATGCACTGGGATTCCGTATGCGCCAGGATCCGCTTCTCAATGCGATGTGTTTCAGTGCGGAGCCGGAAGTAGCGTCGGTGTATAGAGTTTAGTTCCTTCTTAGAAGCCCCCCTGCTTCTTAGAAGGCGCGGGCCTCCTCTGTAGATGTAAGGCCCGCGGCTTCTGAGAAGCAGCCTCGTTCTAAGAAGCCTTCCCCCTCCCTCATACCCCCTCTGCGCGCCGCCAAGGGGCAGAGGAACGGGAGGGCGATCGGAGCAGACCACTTATGCGAGAGGGAAGCCCTGCTCAGCATACGCCCTCGAGCAGCGTTGCGGCACACTCCGCGCGCCAGCGGAGCCACGGCACGAAGCCCCTGCAATATGCGAGCGGGCCGCATGGGAGAGTGGGGGGGGGGGAAGAGAAGCAGGACGAGGGGGGGAAGAGAAGCAGAACGAGGGGGGTGAAGAGAAGCAGAACGAGGGAAAGGCACCCATATCGCGACACTTGCCTCGTTTTCCTGTTTTTGTTCGGCCTCCTGGGCGGCCCTCGTCGACAGCCGCATAGGCGTGACGAGGAGGAGGAGGAGGAGGAGGAGGAGGAGGAGGAGGAGGAGGAGGGTGATAATGAGGAGAAGGAGGAGGATCTTGTGTAGGACGAGGAGGAGGACGAGGAGGAGGAGGAGGAGGAGGGTGATAATGAGGAGAAGGAGGAGGATCTTGTGTAGGACGAGGAGGAGGACGAGGAGGAGGAGGAGGAGGAATGAGGAGAAGGAGGAGGATCTTGTGTAGGACGAGGAGGAGGAGGAGGAGGAGGAGGAGGACAATGAGGAGGAGGATGAGGAGGAGGAGGAGGAGAAGGAGGAGGAGGAGGAGGAAGATAGGCGAGGGGGGGGGAGGAGGAGGAGGAGGAGGAATACGCACGGGAGGAGATGGAGCGAGAGGGGGAAGGCCGAGAGGGATAGTGATGAGGATGACGACGACGAATGCGTCGACGGCGACGATGATGACGACTAGAGCGCAGGGCGATCAGGAGCAGGAGGGCGACGATGACGCGTGAGCAGTGTCTGGAGCCACACTGGCTCTAAAAACTCACAATGCGGGTTGGGGATACTGGCCTCTGGCCGTGATTGAAAATCTGGATGTTCGTCAAGATGCCGATGCGTTCTCCCCCCCCCCCCCCTTTGGGCGGCGATAAATGGGGGGGCGATAAAGGGGAAGGCAGCGAGGGCTGCCGAAAAGGGTTTTTTCTATATGGCCCCTAGAAAAGCCCCTTCGGGCCCAGAGGGGGGCCTTTAGGGGCCGACACGGGCACCTTTCCTCCCCCCCCATTTTATCGCCCCCCATGAACTCGCGCCCAACCGTCGCCTCCGATGTCGAGAGGTCCGGGGGCCACACAGTGCATCAAACTGAGTGCGTCCGGCGGCGGGCCCCGGCGCGGCTCCTGCCGCGGTGGTGCCACGGGCCTCGGCGAGCGAGGGGAGGGCCGACCAGCACAGAAAAGCGGGACCACCCCACCTGCGGCCCTGTAGGCCTCCCAGATGAGGTCCGCGCCGTGTCGTCGATGCATCGGCGATGCGGCTTGATGTGGAGCCCGATCTTCTCCACGCCGTCGTCGCCGATGCGCCGCCGACGTCGCCGACGCATCGTCCATGCATCGCCGATGCATCGCCGATGTATCGGCGATGCGGCGCGATCCTCCGACCCCATCTGCCGGGACCCCATCTAGGAGGCCAGGAGGCCTCCAGGCCCTCCATCTTGTTCTGCGGCCCGTCGGGGGCCGTGTTGCATACCACGCAGAAGCCCTCGCCAGATGTCCTGGTATACGTTGGGTCGGCCCGATCGCTCTGCTGCCAGCCATCACCTTGAGCCCCCCCGGCATGGATGCCCACGCATCCTCGCAGCGTGCTTAGGCATGGCCGTGTCGATGCCTCCGAGGCCTGGGCATCTGCATGGGTATGCCCACGAATGCATCGAGGGATGCGTCCATGGACGTAGCTGGACGCGGCTGGGCGTAGCCGATGCCTTGGCATCGACCTGGTGATGCCTAGGCATCGAGCTGGCGATACCTCGGCATCAGCAGGAGGGTGTGCAGGGTACCTACCGGTCGTTGAAAGTAGGTATGTCTGGAGTCCCTGATTCCAATCTACGTTAAGCGCCTTCCTACTTCAATGATCGAATGGCTTCACCTGTTCCATCCTTTTTCGGGGGTGGGCGGACACCCAACCCAATCTACTTCCAACGACTTCCTACTTCATGTTCCTACCTACCTCTTCGGACCGATGGGTAGGCATCGATGGTTCAAGGTACCAGCGCAACTGGGCCGTGCCAAGGTATACGCTAAGCTCCGTGGGGTGGTGTCCTTTTGTTGTCTGGTCCAGAGGGCGGGATCTGACGTGCCACAGCAGACGTGAGCCAGACCGCGCGGATCGCTCGGGAGCGCAAGACGGACGCATTGCGCGAACGTTCATACCTCATCGGCGAGCGAGGGGTGAAACGAGAAGGAGAAGGCCTTCTCAGAAGGCGGCGGGACTTCTCAGAAACCCTCGCACCGTCTGAGAAGTTTTCTGTGTCTTCGGGGAAGGCTTGGAATTTGTTTCAGAAGGCCCCGGGGACTTCTGAGCCTTCTGAGCAGGTCCGCCCCTTCTGACTCCCCCCCGGGGCTCGCCGCCTAGTATCATGAGGCTGGTCTCGCGGACTGGGGGGCCGTATTCGTCAACGTGATGGGGGCGCGTGCGCCTTTTGCGGGCTCCCTGTGGTCGCGATCGCAGCCGCCAGCTCCGCCCAGGCCGGGACCACGGGCTCCATGCCGTCGGCGTATGGTGCCCCAGGGCAAGTTCAGCAGGCTGCTGGTCCAATGCCTTTCCTGCCAGCACACCCCAGCTCGTGCTAGCCCAGCTTGGGAGAGGAGGTGGAGGAGGAGGAGGAGGAGGAGAAGGAGGAGAAGGAGGAGGAGGAGGAGGAGGAGGAGGAGAGGAGGAGGAGGAGAGGAGGAGGAGGAGGAGGAGAGGAGGCCGAGGAGGAGGAGGAGGAGGAGGAGGAGGAGGAGGCCGAGGGGAGGAGGAGGAGAGGAGGAGGAGGAGGAGGAGGAGGAGGAGGAGGCCGAGGAGGAGGAGGAGGAGAGGGAGGAGGAGGAGGAGGGGGAGGAGGAGGAGGAGGAGGAGGGGGAGCGAGGCAGGCCGTTCTGGAGCTCCCACGCAGGGCACCCTGGCAGAGGCAGGCTCGCGGGCGCTGCAGCTGCATCCCCCGGCGGTGGGGCTTCGGTGGCACGTTTCCGGCTTCCTCGGGTCAAAGGCTTTTGTCGGGAGTTTTTGGGAATTCATTTCCCAGGGCGGAGCGAATGAGGTGGAGGAGGAGGAGGAGGAGGAGGAGCAGGAGGAGGAGGAAGAGCAGGAGTGGTGAGGGGGAGGAGGAGGAGTACTACAAGGGAGCAGGGGGACGACTTTCCTCTCGACTCCCTCCTGCCCCCCCTAATCATCCCTCTTTCCTTCTCCCCAGTCCCCCCTCCCCCTCCTCAATCCTCTGTTGCTCAGGCTTGGCCCGAGCGGTTTGCAAACCGGTTCCGCGCCGATCCCCGCCGCGACGCCCGCAAGGGCCGCCATCCGCCAGGCGCGACGCCTGCTTACTCTCCTCCCTCCTACCCCCAGCGGCCTCGCGACGAGCCCGCTCACCATCGCAGAGCGCGCAAGCAACGCGCAAACGCTCGCACACTTTTAAGAGTGCACAAAGCCGCGATGATGCTCTCTCACCACCACTCTTTCCAGGGCCTCCCGCAGCAAGGCGCTGTTCCTACGACCTTGCCCCCGCCTCGCGCGACGCCTCTCTCCCCAACGTCTGGGCTGCAGCAGCACGGTATGGCTACCTCCCCCACGCAGCGTATGGCTGCTCCTCCCTCCCCGTCCCTTTATGCCACGCGCCTGCCTACTGACTTTTTTCCTCCCCCCCAGCAGCCAGTGCACCAGAAAGGTAGCGCCCCTCCCGAGCTTTGGTATTGCCTGCAGTGCGGCCGGGCCAATACCACTTTGGACGTTTCATGCCCCACCTGCTTTCCGACTCGGGCGGCAGGTCCTCAGCATGCGACAGCCGGCCCCGCCAAAGGTCAGGAACAGCACAGGCCCCTGCAAGGTGCGGGCCCTGGGCCGGGCCACAAGGGCCCACGCTCCTTTTCTGGAAGCACGGGAGGGGTACACATGGGCAAAGGCCATGCGCCGCCAACTGCGCCATCTTTCGACCAGGTGGCTGCGTGGGCAGCGGAGTACGGCTTGCTCCCCGCACCCCCAGGAGACCACACGGTCCAGCCAGAAGCGATCTCCAACAAGGAGCGCAAGAAGCGCGAGAAGGACGAGGCTCGCAAGGCCCGCGAGGCCCAGCGCAGCGAGGGGGAGCAGCCCGCATCAAAGGCTCCTGGCACCCCGCACGGCGCCAAGGACACGGGCATCATCGGGCAGTCTCCCCGGGCGCAGCCTTCGCCTTTTGCGCCTCCTCCTGAAGGTGCGGACACCCCCTCCACACTCTTCGGCCCCGCCTCTGTGCAGCAGTCTCCGTTCCTTACGGCCGACCAAGCCTTCTCCTCTCTCGGCGCGTTGGATCCTGCCACTGAGCTCTCAGTAGCAGAGCTCACAGCGCAATGCCCTACCCTCGCCCCCGACGAGGCGCACTCTCATTCGGCCTGGATCTATCCCTCGCTCGAGCCCGACCGCCTGCTGGAGCATCGCAAGGCCCTTGCCATGAGCAAGGATGCGCTGATCCTGCAGCTCAGGGCCTCAATCCTCCTAGGACACTCCGATATGCGTATCACCGAGATCCGTAAGGAGATTTCGTTAGTTAATTTTCAGTTGGCCAATGCGAGGGATCCGCTAGCCAAGATTAGCGAGCAAGAGCACGTGGTGGCCTCTCTGCATGCCGATTGCGAGCAATTGGCAGCTAAGCAAGCACAGGCAGAGGAGCACGTGCGTAACCTCGCCCTGGCTCTTCAAACCGCGCAAGCGGACCTCAGCCAGGCATCTACATTATTAGCTTATTTCAAATCGCAGGCGCCGCCAGTCGCCGCCATCACTGACTCGCTCATGATGGGGGAGGCGGCGGACGAGCCAGGAGCAGTACAACGCACTGCGGCACTCTCTGCATCGCACGCGGGCGAAGATCGAGCTGGCCCGCCAGACCTAGGAACGGCCGCGCCCCTCACTGCTGCGCCGCCCTCCCCTCCGCTCCTCCAATGCCCCGCGCCCCTCCCAGGCATCCAAGGGTTGGAACAGCCTTACATCACCTCGCTCTCCGCGGCCATGCAGAGCAACGCCGAGGCCATGGCCAGGGAGGTAGCCACCATTAAGGCAAGTGTTGACTCCCAGGCCCAGGCCATGCGCAACGCAGTAGACACCCTAGTCTCGCAGATCAAGGCCGGGCAACTAGTGCCAGCCGCCGTCTCTAGCCACGGCGCCACGGCCCGGGGGGGGGCCACCGCGCCGTCAGGTTCTGACCAAGCCCGCGCTCCCGCCAGAGCAGGCCCGCTTTTCCGCCTAGGTTTCGTGCCCAAACCTGGGCCAGCGCCAGTGCCCGAGACGCCGACAGGGGAGGCGTCCACCGCTGCGCCACCAGGAGAGGCCGCCACCAACCAGTCGAGCCCAGCAGCAGCTTCCGTAGGGGAGCCCAGCGAACTGCCCCCGCCTACCCGTTCTGCCAGCCAGCTCGGATGGGACCTCTCTGATGATAAAGGGGAGCCAGTCACCATGGCATCCTCCCGCCGCAGCGCAAGCGCTCAGGCCAGGGGCAGACCCGCGCGAGCGGGTCAGGCCGACGAGCGCACGCTCTCAGGCATCAGCGAGGAAGATTTTGAAGGCAAGCAGGCGGCACGCAGCAAGAGCCCTCCTGGCTCCCGCCGCCCCAGGCGAGCGCCAGCCGAGGCCGAGCCGACGTCCCGTGCAGGGGCCCCCGCCGCGGCTGCCCCCCGCAGTCCTGCTGATGCAATGGCAGACGCAGAGGCAGCGGACCTTCGCGCCGAAGCCGAGGCCCACGCGGCACAGGCTGCTCAGGACGACTTGGCCCAGGCAGCGCGCGACGGCACGGTTTTTCAGGTCGCTCCCCCGGACACTGCCCACGGGTGAACCTGGGCGGACGACAAGGCATACGCCGCAGCCCGCTTCCGCCCATGGGGTGGATGCTACCGGTTCTCACGGCTACCTCCATCCAGCTGGTCAGGGATTTTGATGCCATATTTCCCGCTCTCCACTCCTCCTCCATCCCCACCTGGCATAGCCTCGCTTTTGACACACCCTGCGCGGCTTTTGACTCCGCGGATATATGCACCGACGCCAGCGGAGGGGCCTCCAAAGGAGATCTCGCTGGCCCGCCAGCGTGGGCTTTTCTGGTCTTTGCATGGCTCAACGGCACTCGTCACTTTCTCGGCTTCCTCGGGTGTCCCACACCGGAGCTTACAGGAGCAACGAGAGTCTCTGCCAAGGCAGAATTCGATGCCGCCACTTGGGCGGCGCTATGGGCCTTACAGTCCCCGCTTCCTCCCGCCGTTCCTCTCACCTTTCACTCAGATAACATGGGCGTGGTCTCTACCGCCCAAGGCGGTACTGTGGCCGAGCCACTCATAGAGCACAGAAGTCGCCTTGACAGTCTGTGCAAGGTCCTGGGTCTGAAACGTCGCTTTACATGGCAGCACGTGCACGGTCACCAGGCAGACCCACTCAACGAAATGGTTGACACGGTCGCCAGACTTTATTCCCTCGCAGTGCTCCCTCCTCCCGCGCTCCCACCCCTCATGAGCTTTCTCCAGGACAATGCGCACATCCTGGAATGGCTCTGGCTTGAGTGCCTCCCCCAGCAACAGCGCGCCCTTTACCCGCCTAACCATCAGGTTAGCCTTAATCCTCCTTTCCCCCCGCGCACCTCGCTCGCAGATGTTCTTCCAGGTCTCTCCGAGGAGGCAGCCCCTATCGCAGACGCCACCGCATCCTGTTGCCTCAGGCTAGCCTCAGCCAACATTCTCTCTCTCACGCCTGCATCGCGCATCTCCCAAAGAGCCAGGCTTACAGGTGTGGCCGTCAAAGGACGCCTACATCAGTTGGCCGCCGCCTTTCAACGCAATGGGCTCGATGTTATCGGTATGCAAGAAACGCGAGTCACTGCCAAGGGCTCTGGCAAACGCCAAGTCCCCCCGTACATAGTTTTTCTGTCCGAGTCGCAAGCTGGTACTCATGCTTGCGGCTGCGCGCTCTGGGTCAACCTTAGCACGCCCGTATTCCCTAATGCCAAAGGCACCTCCACCTTCCCTATTAAGTCGCATAATGTGCGCATTGTACACCAAGACCCGCGAATCATCGCGGCCGTCATAAGTCAGAACGACCTACGTTTCAGCATCCTAGTGGCACACGCTCACCATTCCGGGCGTCCTCTCCATGAGCAGGCCGCATGGTGGCAGCACCTTCGACATGTGCATGACCATATTTTGCCGCAGCCCACTCCCACGCTTGTCCTCATGGACTCCAATGCTGCAGTGGGCACGCAAACCTCAGCGGCCATCGGCCCCCAGCATGCGGAGCAGGTCAACACGGCTGGCTCCTTTTTCCATCGCTTCCTACTCGCCTCAAATCTCTGGCTGCCGGCCACCCTTGTGCCCCACCCTATGGGATCGGGCACATGGATTTCGCCAGCACGCGACCCCGCCTTCAAACAACACTGGAAGCGCAGGGATTACATAGCTATCCCGATAGGCGCCTCAGCCACTGAGTGCGAGGTCAAGTACTCCCTTACCTTGGCATTCGCAGTACTAGACCACGCTGCTCCGTGCCTATCATGCCGCTTCAAGCTTCAGCTGCGCCCAACCGAGGATCAGGGATG